GTGCTAGAAACTTAGAATGTTCTGTCCAAACTGTGAAGACAATCTCCCAACTACAGAATGTGAGTTAATATTTAAATGATCCATTTAAGTATTTTATAGGCCAAAATAAAAATTATATAAGTTGCTATAAGTGATACTTTTTATTGTAATAGGGCAATGTATTATCTTAGTCTCTTTCCTTGGCTTTGTGCAAAGCTAATAAAGAAATATTACCTATTTTGACAAGCTTCCCACAGATTCTGAGAATATTATCTATAGTGTGAGTATTATGACCAAATCCTATGAGATATTTTCCTAGAATGAAATCCAGGAATGTAATAGGCAGAAAGAAACACATTCAAATTTGTATAGCTGTCAAATTACAACGATGTCTCTCAGCCCCGTCATAAAACGAAAGAAAAAATCCACATTTATTTGAGGCGTTGTGTGTTTCCCTAATAGAGTTTTAAATTGTTTTCAGAACATCAGTAACTGGAGTATTTCAATATTCCCAGATAAATACCTACAAAAAATTTACTAATCATGTTACATCATCCCTCTTCCCTTCACAAGATACAAAACATTCTTATTAAATACTGAGAGCATGAATTTACATCTGAACCTGCGAAGTAGCTACCTGTGAGGCAGTGTTCGTTGTTTTGTGGCTTTCTAGCAAAAGACATTTCATTTAGAGGACAGACTATTGTTCTGATCTCATCTATTTTGAGTACTTGGGCAGATGGTTTCTGAAATACTTAAGATCTACCTTTGTGCATCTGACTTATAAGATGAGGTGGCTGGATAAGGGCAGTAGTTCCCACAGGTAGAGAAAACTGGAAATGGGCCCGTATGAACTACCTGAGTGTCTCCCGGAATACCCCAAAGATGATGTCTCAGAGGAATTCTGATGTTTCTTGGGCTTGGGAATCACAGGAGTAAGTGATTATCCAGATTCTTTTTGCTTTAAAAATTCTGATTTATTTGGGCAATTCTAGGCAAATAAGGATAACACAAATTAAGTAAACAGATCAAATTACCCATTCACAAGGTATACATACACACACACACTCATTTTATTATTTATAAAGAATTTAAGACTCACAAGAACTTGCAAAAATAGTAGTTTGTGTATACTCTTCACGTAGCTTCCACGGATGATGATATCTTTCATAACCAGAATATGTTTTTAAAATCATGAAATTAACATTAGTACAACACTGTTAACTGAACCACAGACCTTGTTCCATTCACCCAATTTTTATATGCATTTTTTGGTATATGTATAGTGCTATGAAATTACATCATAGTATTGATTTGTATAAACACCAGCGCAAACAAGACACGGAAGTGTTTCATCTCCACAGAGAAACTCCCTCCTGCTGCCCTTATCTAGTCAGACTCTCCCCATTCCAATCCCTGGTGACGCCATCTCTTCTCCACTCTGTAATTTAGTCATTTCATGAGTCTTATGTAAATGAAACCATACAAGATATAACCTTTCAAGGTTGGCTTTTTCTCCCTAAATTTTAAAATTATGGGTACGTAAGAGTTATATTTATAGGGTGTACAGGATGTTTTGATACAGGCATACCTGTGTAGTAATCAACTCAGGGTAATTGTGGCTGGCTTCCTGCACTCAGTGTAATAGCATAGAGACTCACAGAAGTATTGTATGTGACAATAGTTTCTTTGCTTTTCTGGCTAAGTATTATTTCATTTATGGATACACTATAGTTTATCTATTTGCCCACTGAAGGGCATTTAGGTTGTTTCCATTTCTTGGCTATCACAAAGCTGCTGTGAGCATTTGTGTACAGGTTTTTTTGTGGGTATTTTCATTTCTGTATAATTACATAGGAGTACTATTACTGGGTCACACTGTTAAGTATCTAACTTTATAAGAATCTGCCTAACTCTTCCAGAGTGACTGCACCATTTTATATTCCCACAATGTCTGAGAGATCCAGTTGCTCCACTCCATCCTCCGTACTTGGTATTTCCAGTATATTTAATTTTTGTCATTCTGATAGGTGCATAGCAATACTTTTTGTGGTTTTAATTTGCATTTTCCTAGTGGTTAATGATGTGGATCATCTTTTCATGTGTGTATTAGCCACCTCTTAGGTGAAGAGATGTTTATTGGCCCATTTTACAATGGGGTTTCTCACTTTTGGTTTACAGAGTTCATCTATTCTGGGTGTTAAGTCCTTTGTTGGATATGTGATTAAAAGTATTTTCTCCAGTCTGTGGTCTGTCTTTTCATCTTAATAGGATTTTTTGGTTTTCAGGATTAAAAAGTTTTTAATTTTGACAAAGTTTATTCATTTATTTCCTTCATGGAATGTGCCCTTGGTGTAACCTCCAAGAACTTGACCTAAGCCTGGATTGTAAAGATGCTGCTTTCTTCAAGTTTTATAGTTTTAAGGTTTACATTCCGGGGTGGTGCCAGCCCCCTATGCCAGAGGTCGCAGGTTCAAACCCAGCCGCAGCCAAAAACTGCATAAAATAATAAATAAATAAATAAATAAATAAAGCACTATAGTATATATTTTTTTAAAAGTTTACATTCAGAGTTAGGATCCATTTTGAGTTATTTCGATAATGTGTGTAGGCCAGGTGTGGTGAGTCACACCTGTTATCCCAGCACTCTGGGAGGCCGAGGCAGGTGGATTGCTTTAGCTCAGGAATTGGAGACCAGCTTGAGAAAGAGCCAGACCCCACCTCTAAAAATAGCCAGGCATTGAAGCATTGTGGTGGGTGCCTCTAGTAGTCCCAGCTACTTGGGAGGCTGAGGCAAGAGGATTGCTTGAGTCCAGGAGTTTGAGGTTGCTGTGAGTTCTGACACCAAGACATCCTATTGAGGGAGAATGAGACTGTCTAAAATAATAATAATAATAATGTGTGTAGTTTAGGGTCTAAGTTTTTTTTTTTTTTTTTCAAATGGAAAGACTGTTCTTCCCCATTCCTTTTGTATTTTTGTTAAAAAAAAAATAGTTGGCCATACTTCTGGATGTTTATTTATGCATTCTCTAGCCTATTTCATTATTCTGTACCTCCTCCAATAAGTGTTAACTACTGTAGCTATAAATTAAATCTTAAAATCAAGTTTTGCGATTCCTGCCCCTTTATTCTCCATTTTAAATATGTTGGTTAGTCTAGTTGCTTTGCCTTTCTGGAGGTATTTTAGAATTAGTTTTTCTCTACACATGCGGTGCTGGGATTTAGCTTAAATTCTGTGCCCACAGCGAGCAGCTCATTCATCTCACTGCGGACCTGCATTTGTCCAGGGGGGCACAGCAGCATGCCAGTAAAGCGTCTGACGTTGGATACACACATGTATGAATGAAGGGTCCTTGGCCACTAGGCAGTGAGGGAAGAGGGGCAGGTCAGACGAAAGCAACAAGTTTCAGACACTTTCGGATTTGAGGCGCCCAGGGTGCAGTGAAGGGTCAACCTGGCAGCCTCGGCCAGAGGACTGCTTAGCAAGAGAAAGGGCACCCGGGTTCGGCCAGGAGGCGGCAACTGCGAGTCCCCGAGGAAGGCGTCTTCTTCCCAGGTTTGGGTGACGTCTCCAGGACACCAGCGACGGGGGGCCCAGGGGTGAGTGGGTGGGCGCCGCGGGGTCCCTGCACCCCCATCCCTGGCGAGCTGCTGCAGCCCCTGCGGTCCCAGGCTGAGTCCCCGCCGCAGGCGCGTGCCCCGCGACAAGGACCCCACCGACCCGCAGAGGGCTGCCTGTGCTGCGCCTGAATCCTGCGGCAAGGGACCGCGCGACATTCCGGGACTGGGTTCCTGGTTCCGGTCTGGCGACCTTACTTCCCCCCCAGTCGCAGAGATCTGGGTCAGCTAAGGCCCACTGTAAAGCATCGGGCCAGTCCTGCGGACTGGCTCATCTAGTCCTCACCACAACTACACGCACAGAGCAGTGATGGGCAGGAGCCAATCAAGTTTTCTTTCCGTGCATGGGTAGACAGACTTGCACAATCGTTTGTGACAGATATTAAGCGTTAGTGCTGGGTCGTGGGGGCACCTGTCTGAGTTTGTAAAACAGCAGAGTTCTGAAAGAGCAGCAGGAGACATGGAGGTGCCCTAACGGTTAACAGCGAAGCCGAGGCAGGCTGGGGAATTCATGCTTGAGCAACTGAGACACGGAAGGGCAGGCTCAGCCAGAGAAGGCAGGGACCAGACACAACACGGGCTGTCTGGTGCCATGGGATATAAGCAACCAAAGAATTTTTTTCAAAGATCCTAAACATGCCCTAATGTTAAGGCTCTAATCAGCTAATTAACATTCAACAGGAATTCCTTGGAACAGATTTTAATGAGTTAACCACCTCATTTTATATATACCACTTTGTCATACCCATGACAAAATTTAAGTATGCAGACAGGAAATCCCCGTATGTTCAACATCCAGCTTCAACAATTGTCGGAACCGTCTTCTCTACACGTCCTTCCATTTCTTTACCCTTGTGCCTTCAAGCAAGTCTTAAGGCCCAAAATGTTACAATCTTATGAAAGCTTAAAGAGATCCACCTTGCCATATACCTGGTCTCTGGTACTGCATAACCTTTTCCTCCCATTTCACTGGCATATACTTAACATCAACTCAAGCTCAACAACTCACCCAGCACCTGTATCTTCCAAAATAGTGTATGTAGAAACAGAACACAGCTCCCAACCTTGAAAAACTCAAAACACTGCAACAGGGAGCAACTCTGAGGGTACTCTGTCATGCTGGGTCTTCAGAGGATGGCCAAGAATGTACATTTTCAAGGGTGCCTTTTATAATAAAACTTAAGAACTGTTCAGTGTATTACTAGACATGGAAAACAACAACAACCAAACATCAAAAAATTATCCATACTTCTACCACAAAAGCTCACTATAAATTTATTAAGTTTAAAATATCTAAGTTTGTTCTAGAATCCCAGAATCCTAAAACATCTTTTCTCCCTATACCCTAAAATTGACAGAGCACTCACAATCCATCTGTTGTGAGGAGGAAAACGACACACACATTTTTGGCATATGAAAATTTATTACTGTGTTTTCATCAAAATTTATGATCTTGGTCGTTCCTTCTTGCCTTTGTAAAGGGCCAGAAGAGACACATTAGCTACTTTGACAACCTTAAAGCGGACTCCAGGAATGTCACCAACGGCATGACCTTTTCGACCAAATCCAGCAACCAGAACTTCATCGTTTTCCTGGAATAAAATAAAAAATTTATTCCTGGGGTCAGAGAATCACAAAAATATTCATACGAGGAACTCACAGTTATTGGATAAAAAACACCCCAACAATACATAAGTTCAAGGGATTAAGATTAATAAACACTCACCTCAATAAAGTTCAAGCAACCATCGTTGGGTACAAATGCTGTGATTTTCTTGCCATTCTTGATCAGCTGGACCCTGACACACTTCCTGATGGCAGAATTTGGCTGTTTGGCTTCAACTCCTCTGAAACATCAATAGCATAGTAGAATTAAGTGGCTTTCTGAAAACTGATGCCTTTACTACCTGAAGCACACAACTTGTTAGAGATCACGTCTACCTTTTCAATTTGTTTCATTAGAACGAGGAAAATTTCTAGACTGTTTACAGTTATCTATATGGAATGACCACTTTCAAAGTAATTAACAAACACCAGCAAATCCACATCTCAATCTTAGCTGTACGATTTCAGTCACGTCTGACATAAGTCCCGTCTCTTTACCTTAATTTTCTCAAATAAAAAGAAAAGCTGTGATAGTTCGCAGGTGCATTTGGTTTTAATAGTTCCAACACATGGTGAATATCTTCATTTATGTTATTTCATCACTGCTTTAATTCCTCCCAGGTTAATGGTGATATTTAAAAAACTCCAATTATCTAATTTCCAAGTACTAATTTTTCCAACTTTTACATGCAGCAGTGCTTTTTTTAGCCCTCAATGTCCAGACATACATTGTTACACAAAACCCTAGAATTATTCCCTTTAAAACAAGAATTCACTACGTTGTCTCGAGTTGCCACAGTAAAAGATACCTGCAAGTAAGTAACGAACTTTAACTTACACTTTTTCCAACACAATCCCCTTTGCATGGGAAGCACCTCCGAAAGGGTTGGCCTTCAGGGCTGTGCCCAGATGGGCCTTCTTGTACTGTTTATCATGCCACTTTTGGTCTCGTCTGTGACTGCGGAGCTTCCTAGCAGTTCGGAGCCCACGACACTTGCCTAGAAATTAAAGCATTTTAGTTCCTCCACAAAAGCACACTTACTTCACGTTTTTTATCTCGGAACACACTAGCGTCATCTGGACTATACCCTTAAACCGTACATGGCTCTTGCACCGCAACTTGGTCGGTGGGCTAAACGTTTCCCTGAAACGTTCCCAAAGTTCCCCTGAAATTAACAAACGTTAAAAGAGTGCACATGGGCTCCGGGGGTGCGCCTTCCCAAAGGATAAGCCCCAACACCAACGCTTAGTAGGCGGAGCCGGCCTCCCAGAGCCCTTCAGTACCGCGTCCCCGGCGGCAGCCAAGTCGCGTGGGCCCCTTCTGCGCCTGGTCCTATGCCTTCGGGAGCTGCGTCCCGACAGGACTCCCCAATAGGGCCTCCCCGTGACATCCTGCTCCCTTCCGCCCGCCCGTCCCTGAAAATCCAGGTCCCACGTGCGGTGCCCTTAGGCAGGTCAGGAGAGCTCACCCATCTTGCCGGTACCGCTGGCCTACGCGAAAGAGAGAGGCTGCACAGGAAGGAGCCACAAGCCACCGCGAGCAGGCCCCGCCCATCCGAGGACCCCGCGCAGCTGTCTGAGCAGCGCCTGATCCGAGGTTGGAGCCGCTCCTTTGAAAACGACGCCTTTGCAACACTACACTGAGACAGAATCTACACCTTATTTAATTTGCACTAAATTCCGAGATATCTAACTTCCATAGTGGTTTATTTCATGTGCTTACTGGACGTGGGTAGGACGTGAACTACAAATCCCAGAACGCTTTGCACGAAACCCGTTCACGGCGCCGACGCTCTTAGCAGCGTGGTGGGGGCGGGGCACTGCGGAGCGAGGTCCGGAAAGGCGGGGTCGCTGGGCGGGGGATTACGCGGAGTGGCTGGCGCGGCGCGGCGGCGGGGCCCTGGGAGTGGAGTTTGGGAAGTTAGGCTCAGGCTCACAATTAGCACAGTAGATTGTAAAATTTAGTGAGACGTGTAATGTACAATTAAAAACCCAATATTTGGCTGCTCCGAAGGTAGTGAGTTATCTCACTTGATTGTTCATTTACAGATTGAACGCCTTGTTTTACTCATTCCCTCCCTTCTCACTACTGCACTTGACTAGTCCTTAAAAAATAAATAAATAAATAAATAAAAACCTATTATTTGGAGTCAACTTGGCCCTAAATCCTGAAGCTGCGATTTTACTAGTTGTGCAGCTTTCAGCGAATAGTTTTAATTAGTCTTTGACCTCAGTTTTTTGTTGTCAGATGAACTAGATAAGAGAGTTTTCTGGATTGTTGGTTTCTTTGACATGCTCTACAGCGTTTATCATTATGCAAAATTACCTTTTTTATTATCTTAAAATGTACTTATATATAGTGTCTGTCCCTTTAAACTTCGAATATAAACTTTGCAAGAACAGAAACTGCTACTCTTCGCAGCTAGATCCCACATTCTGGGTACCTACAGGAGTGTCTGCAACAGAGAAGACGTTAATGTATGGAAGTTTATATAGTAGAAGTTTCTGTTCTTGCAAAGTTTATATTAGAAGTTTAAAGGGACAGATGCTATATATAAGTGCATTTAAAAATAACAAAACATAATTTTACATAATGATAAACGCCGTAGAGAAAAATATACAATTGGGTGGTTAATAGTGATTTGTGGATGGGTGGTAGTCTGGATAGCATAGTTTAAGAAGATAGCCATATGGAGATTACATTTGAGCTGAGAGGCTAGGCAGGGTGGCTCACACCTGTACCTGTAATCCTAGCACTCTAGGAGGCCAAGACCAGTGGATCACTTGCGTTCAAGAGTTGAAGATCAGCCTGAGCCAGAACAGTGACCCGTCTCTACTAAAAATAGAAAAAACTAGGCATGTAGGCATCCTAGGGGCGCCTGTAATCCCAGCTACTCCAAAGGCTGAGGCAACAGGTTCACTTGGGCCAAGAGTTTGAGGTTGCTGTGAGCTACGATGATGCCACAGCTGTGCCCAGAGCGATGGAATGACATTCGGATCTCAAAAAACAAACACAAAACATTTGAGCTAAGAAGTTAGAGACAAAGCAGTTGGACAAGTATATGGGACAGAGCCTTCCAGGAAGGGGTCTTCTCAATAAGTAGAATTGAAAGTTCAGTGAACAGAACAACTGCATGCTTTCTAATTTGGGCTTGAAGTTGTTCTCCAGAGAGTGGCTATAAATGATAGTCCTGCCCTGATGGGACTCTAGGGGAGGAGGGTGTGGATATTTACAGTGTGCTGTTCTCAGGATACTTTCTTATCTGGTAGATGGCATAATGCGTAAGTGCCTGACCTATGACCAGTTGTCCCTCTCACAGGAAATTTGTTTTATTGGCAGACGCCTTGTGGTTCTTTTCTGACCTGTGTCTAGTTTATTTGTACCAAAATAGCTACTCTCTAGGAGAGCCCTGCGCAGGAAAGAAAGTAGGTTCAGCTGTGTCAGCCAGGTGAGACTCAGAGAAAGTGGCACAAAAAGCAAATGAAACAACAGAGGCAATTTTATTACTTTATAGATCCCAGAGGGAAGAGGTCAGCACACCTTGCGAGGCCATCTGGGGCACACATGCTCAACCAGTGAGTTGGGGAGCACAGGAGAGATGTAGGACTTATAGAGTCGGAGCCTTTGTTAGGGTCCAGGGCATTATTCAAGCAGGTTTCCCATGGGGAGTTCCAATTGTGGGTTTAAAGCAAGCAGGCATGAGTTCTATGTGATCAGCTGTGACTGAGAGGGGGTCTCTGTGACATGTCTGTGCAGGGGATCAATGGATGAATCAAATTCATTGTATCTGGCTGTCCCACAGGGAACTGGCCAATAGCAGGTGGTTGTATAAGGGAGCTATCTGGATCAACCACATTGAGATTGGAAAGAGGTGAAGAATGGAAACTGTCACATGTGGCTAAGCCTAGCTCCAGTATGAGAGGGTCCAACTTACATTCAAAATGGATGATAAGGCAACATAAAATTATAATAATTTATTGCAGTCATTGATTTGAAACCTTTTCTGATATATTTAGTGGTATAACTATCCCTTTAAGCACTGCTTGAGCTATATGCAAAACTGCTTGAGCAATTTTAGTATGTTATGTGTTGTCTTAATTCAAAATATTTACTAATTTATCTCTTCATTTCCTTTTTGACCCTTGGATTTAGGCACGTGCTACTTATTTGCAAGTATTTGAGACTTTTCTAAATATCTTTTGTTGATTTCCAGTTTAATTCTGTCATGGTCTAAGAAAATAGTTTCTTTATTTAAATTTTTGAAAAATATGTTGAGGTTGGCTTTATGGGCCCATTCACTTTTGATAAATTTTTCATGTATACTTGCAAAGAAAGTATATTCTGTTGATCCTGGGTGGAATGTTCTATAAATGTTAATTAGCTCAGGGTGGTTGATGGCATTATTCTGGTCTTTGCATCCTGTATTCAGGTTGATAGTAACATTAGGTGGGGGGAGGTAAGAATTATGTTTGGATGTTGGGTTATGGCTTACTTTTTGGTAGTGGGCTTATTTATTACATTATTATAAATAGGACAAAACCACAAATATGGTGTGAAACAATGGTCAGAGAATGTTATGAGCCAAGATTATGCTTACTATAGGTAAGAAAAGAAAAAAAAGGATTTAATTTTAGTTTCTCAGAGCTTTGATTATTTAATTTGGGGCCTGAAAAAGAGAATACCTTTTATATTGGACCCTACATTTCCCTCAAAGAGCCCCTAAAGAAGAATCAGCTTACAAAATTATAGGAAAAGAGAGAAGGTCCTGGTAGTTGGAGAATATTGAGCTGGTGGAAAAGTGGAGGAAGGTAGAGATGGAGATGTGGGCGGGGCCAGCTCATGTTCCCCCTGTGGAGCAGGATAAGGGGCTAGGACTTGATTCTGATTGTGAAAGCCGTTGGAAGGCTTCAAGTAAGAGAGGGACAAGATCTGATCTAGTGCTTTAAAATACTCAGTGTGCCTACTATGGAGGAAACACTGTAGAAAGGTCTCAGGTTATCCAAGGAGGGGGCCGTTACAATAGTCCAGGTGAGAAAATGTAGGTGGTAGCTTTAGAGATGGAGAGATGTTGTATTTAGGATATATTCTGGAGTAACAGCATGAAGGAAAGGGCAAAAGCATTGACATCATATCATCACCATCACCACCACCACCATCTTGAAGATGTAGTGAGTGTTATTTTGATGTCAGGCTTATATAAGACTACTAAGAATTTCATGTGCATTATTTCTTTTAATCCTCAAAACAACTGCTATGTGGTAGGGGTTATTATTAGCCTTACTTTACAAAGAGGAAACAGAAACTTAAAGATGTTAACTTGCTTAACCAGATCATGTTTATGGGTTTTCACATTGGTTATAAGATAGAGTTTTTTTTTTTTTGAGACAGAGTCTCACTATGTCGTCCTTCGTAGAGTGCTGTGGCATCACAGCTCACAGAAACCTCACACTCTTGGGCTTATGTGATTCTCTTGCCTCAGCCTCCCAAGTAGCTGGGACTACAGATGACTGCCACCGTGCCCGGCTATTTTTTGTAGCAGTTGTCATTGTTATTTAGCCGACCTCGGCCAGGTGCGAACCTGCCAGCCTCAGTGTATGTGGCTGGCACTGAAACCACTGTGCTATGGGCTTTGAGCCATAAGATAGAATTTTTAAGTTTAGAAAAAAGTATAATGAATTTTAAGTAAATAAGGCACAAAATAGATGGAAGACAGTTTTCTAGCCAGCAAAACACGAAGAATACTGGGAAGTTGTAGTGTTAAGACAAATGTATTTTTATTATAAGTTGCAACCTAATATTTTTTGGTTATTAGGAGTACATGAAAATGAAAAGAACTTTGTCACAAAAGAATCCTATTTGGTAGCTCTTGCCACGTTGGAGGAGTGGAATCAGGAAAGAAAATAATTTCCCCTCTTTTCTGATACGTTTTCTTTCAAGTAGGAAGAGTTCAACTAGTGAACTCCTGGTTTCTGTCTGACACAGACAGAAGACTCCAGGCACCAGTTGATTAGAGGAAGAGGGTTTATTCCACCAGGGGTAACTTGGAACACCAGTGTGTCTCCCAAACTGAGCCCCCCCCAATTCAATCTCTTGCCTCTCTTTTATCCACTTTTCAGGGCAGGAGTGCATTTGAGGGTCATAAAACAGAGAGAGACATGACATCTCAAGGGGGGCTCAGATTTGCCCGTGTCATTGAGACCAGTCGGACCACCTGCCCTCAAAGGTGAACGAAGTCCAGGGAAGTTACTAGGTTACAATCTAGGCCCCGCGTATGTCAAGGAAGACACATACAGACAACAGAAACTCCTGCGGCTTGGCTGAGGCCTACATAGGGCGGCTAGGACAGATTTTTTTAGTTCTGCTTTGACTTTCTTGCCTCAACTTTACTCATCCCGTGCCCAGTGAAGTCTGATATCTGTGATAAATTTAGAAAAACATAGTCTGGGCAAGTTCAGCTTTTAAAGAGAAGCATTCACATTTTAAAGAGGAGCTGTGGAGATGGAGAGATGTCATATTTAGATGTCATAGTTAGGAGTATGTGTGACCATGGCCAGAGA